TATGAAACAGGGTGAAGTCCCTCTCAGGGAGGAGTGATAGGGAATGGCAAAGGACACACTGACAAAGGAGAGTAATCAGAACAGGCTTTGACAAGCACTGTGGCAATTGGACAATTAAAACAGACTTTCAAGGGGGAAAAAAATAACGAACTGGGGAGGAGGGTAGAGAAAATAGTGCAACAATGAATGAATGAAAACCCCAAATCCCTGTAATGTTCATTTAAATTAATAAAATTTAATAATAAAAAATGTGCAAATCCACGAAGAGAGGCCATATGGATGATTTGTAACGTGTAACATCCAACAGGAAAGAGCAAGGTTAAAAATCCACTATTCAAAGGGTTCCTACGCTTCATAGTCAATTTTGACAGCAAAGATAATAAGTTGTACCATAAAAAAGAAAAACAGAAACAACATAGAGCAATGAGAAATTTCTCTATGTAAAAACAAACAATATGAGAGTGTCTCCAAGATGGCTGCTTGGGGAAAAAAGCATATTGATTCAGACAGTATTGGGGGCTGCACTTCAGAGTGAGTGAGTTTGGAAACTGGAAATGCCCTATATTCAGTCTGCTTCAGTTACCATGTTATGTTGTTGTTATGTGCTGACTCGACAGTATGTCAGACGAAGCCCCAGAATCCTTGCCTCCAAGGAGTAGCTTAGTTTAACCCTGTCTAGGATGAATCTGTTTGTTTTCTTTGCAGTCCAGGGTACATTCAATACTCTTCTCCAGCACCACAGCTCAAAGGCATCAATTCTCCTTCTATCCTCCCTAGCCATTGTCCAACTCTCTGATGCATAACAAGTGCTTGCAAAGACCATGGCCTCTATCAGGCACACCTTAGTCTCCAGAGAGGCAGCGTTGCTCTTGAGTACTTTAGAGAGGTCCCTAACAGCAGACTTTCCCATTGCAATATGTTTTTTTTATTTCCTGGCTGCTGGTGTGTGTATGTAGATAAATAAATAAATGCAAGGTAGATTGAAATCAGATATTCTAGTTTAAAATAGCTCTTTACCAAAAAACACTATTTTATTACAGAAAATAATTATGATTGATTATGGATGGGAAGTGATCAATACATATGGGGGAAAAAAGGCAAAAACTATGGATTCTTATCTGTAAGGAGATTAAAACATATGAAACAGGAATAAAAAATAAAATCATCAACTTTTAAAAACCAAATTAAGATATTTCTTGTTAGAAATGTACTGACTGAATATATTTCTGGTTTAAGAAAAACATGAGAGAAACATAGTAAGATACCATAATAAAAATAGTAGTTGCTATAGGATCATTAGCTTTGTTTGTATGATGCTCCTAAAAAAAAAAAAGAAAAGAAAAAGAAAAAATTATAGTTAAACTTACCTCTTAAGAATTTAAAAAAAAAAATTCTATG